GCATATCCACAATGCGGCAGCGCTCTGTGGAGTCACGATAAAAATGACAAACTATATTTGGAGACTTTTTCGAAACCTCGAAAAATTCCTTTTCATCGGCCAACTCGCTGTATGTCCCATGACCCTAAAGTAAAGAGGTTATTGAAACGATGTTAGCTTTTTACCTAATGGTAACTACATAATTAAAAGATAACGCCCACATTTTTCAACCACTCCTGCTTTTTACGATTCAGATCTTTCATTTCTTTGAGACGTTGTTCCCTTATTGATTTCAAGTCATCTGAGTCCAAATTGCCCAACTGATCTAGCTGCTGATCTAACTGCTTTTCAATCAGTTCAGTTGCAGTCAACAATTGATTTTCCAACATGTTGGCCATTTCCTTAGATCGCCGCAGAGCGTATGTAGATATACAAGCCAGAAAACCGGCGTGGCAGGTGCAAGTATTATTGAGAAATAAGCAAAAGGGAAGCAAGCGCAGTTGTCGTATTGCAACTGGTGTGGTAGTGTTTAGCGAAAAATACACTAATTACTCGAAAATATTGTATTTTTATCGAAAGCACTCTAGTTTTTTAAATTTTTTGCGATATTCAGTTAAGTTTACACACGAGAACGGAAAACATTTGTCACCTCAAGTGATGTGAATAGTATCGATTATCGAATAGAATATATTTGATACTGTTGGGCAATTTGAGTATTCGATTAGTATTGAAAAAATTATGTCGATACTCGATGATTGATCATTAAGGGCCGGTTACTCAATGTCTGGTTATCACTAATCCGCGGTTAAACATCGTTATCGACGTTATCGAAACCGTGTTATATGCATGGAGACCAAGACGTCGATAACGATGTTTAACCGCAAACTAGTGATAACCAGACATTGAGTAACCACCCCTAATGGGCTGTTTTTGCTTACGCGTAAAAGCACATTTAGCGCATTTAGCTCTAAATGCTACTCTAAATGTACATTTATCCATACAAAATTCGTCACCTAAATGCAACTAAATGCAACTCCATTTTTGCATTAAGAATCTAAATGCTAAAAGCAACCCTGTGATCTTCCAAAATTTCCACGATTCGAACATGGTTTAAAGAGAAAAAGTGGCAACATTGCTTTTTCGAGTATACAGTTGCTAGCTGCGTTTCAGTGATCGCCGATCGAGATTTCTTTTATTTTACATTACATATTTGGATAAAGAAAAGTTAAGCAAATTCAACATCGATGTGATGCTGATATAAATCTGGATCAATTTGTGATTAACTCTGTTTGGTTTGTTTCCTATTTAAGTGAGGAAATTTTAATTGACAGCACCGACAAATGAATATATACACAAACAAATGTTTGGTTATGGTTATAACAATTCAAGTTTTTGTATTGAATTTTTGGTTTAAATTTTATTTTTTCCCTTTCAGTAGGATTTTTGCAGATTTTCTTCTGCGTGAGAATTGATCGTAATATATGCGGATCTAAATAAGAGACCGGAACACGGTTGTTTGTCAAAAGCGTACGATTTCGAACTCGCGTAAATGCACATTTGCTAAATGCTATAGCATGAACGCTCTTCGAAAACATATGTTCGAAAGTGCTAAATGCTGCATTTTAAATGCAGCAAAAACGCTGCATAAGGGCGGGATGCTTAGAGCCCAGTTGACACTAATCGTCGATTAAACATCGTTATCGACGTTACCGAGACCGTGTTGTGTGCATGGAGTCGAAAACGTCGATAACGATGATAATCGATGATTAGTGTCAACCAGGTTTTGAGGAACCAGCTCTGTCAAAAGGCAATAGAAGCCAGAGAGCCGAGTACGGGAACGCTTTCTGGCAAATTCCTGTAAATTCTTGCAACTTCTTGCGAGTTAGAGAACGCAACTTATATTTTCATAGAGCGTCGCCAAAGTACTGTAACGGGTTGCAAAATACAATTTTGAGGAGCAGTGTTTCAAAATTATATTTTACCGGATAACAACGTGCATCAAACAAACGGAAGTTCTCTTTGGAGTGATTTTGATAAAAACTCTAAGTAAGGCCACAAAAGTTGTTTAGTGTCTGCCACGGTTGAGGGTAATCAATATTTACTGGAGAGACACCGAGATCCGCTCGCGTGGTGGAAAAATGGGAAAATATATCCCCAAATACACATTTTTGTGTTTAATTAATTATTATAAAAAACTTCGGTATTTTTTTTTAAGATTTTTTCATTGGGCGATATTTCTAGAGAGCTAAACAACATAGAAACATAAAACATAGAAAGGAAGTTAACGGCCCTAAGAAAGAAAGAAGCTGGTGAAATTAGTTATGTATTTTATTTATTTTTTTTTTGGGGAATAATTAAATGTTGAATCTGAGCAAAAAAGCTAACGTGCTTCGAGCACTCTAAATAATTAAAGAAAATTTCAATAATTTCAAATTGAAATTAAATAAAAATACCTATATATTTGTTTTTGAATTTGGTAAACCTTGGCATTTAAGAACAATTTCAAATTACGACTAAAAAAAAAAAATTGTTATGTTTTCATTGAGGACTAGTCTGGTATTTAGAAATATAACATTGTTCACATAATAACATAATTTAGAGCTTTTAATGCATGGACTGCAGATGGGCAATTAAGGAGCAAATGGCAGCGGAGAGCCCCATCGCAAAGGTATACTAGGCACAATGCAACAGCTTAAAGTTGATATCTGGCTGTTTGCAAAGGGTAAGAGTTCCGGACGTTGTCAAGGGATTCCACAATGGTCCCAGTGGAGGGAACCTGGGAGTCACGAAGACCCTGAAGAAGATAAAACAGAGGTTATTTTGCGTTGGTTGTCGGGAATCGGTCGCAGAGTGGATTGCTAACTGTGCGGAGTGTATTGCAGCAAAATCGAGAAGTCATGGCAAGATGAAGCAGTATAACTCAGATGCACCATTCAAGCGGATACGTCCTTGTGGTTATGGACTACTTTAGCAAATGGCCGGAGGTGGAACGGTTGCACCGAACCCTGAAAGAGCATTTGCGGAAAGTCGTGGACAAGAATGAGAAAGATTGAGATGTCCACATACGCTTGTTCCTGATGAGATACCGGTCAGCTGTGCATGAAACCTCGGGTGAAACTCCTGCCAGGGTAATATTCGGCACTGAACTCCGGTTGCCTAGTGACCTGGAATTTGGAGTAAGTGGTTATGCATTAAGAATTGGGAAAGAGACGTCCAACATCCTAGAGGAAGAACTGAGAGAGATACATGCTCTAGTGAGACAACGGATGCAAATTATGAGTGACAAGATGAAAATTTAGTGTTGCTGTACAATCCCCAACGGAGGATAGGTTGTCAAACGGCTGAATGACGTAGTGTATCGAATCCAGTCCGTCGTGAAAAAAGATGAAGGTGGTCCACTTTGAAAGGCTTGCAGACTTACTTGGAAGGCAGTGTGGCGAATACTGCGGCAACGCGAATCGAACAACAAGAAAATGACAGAATGTTAGAGGAACATCGTAGAATACTCGACAGCAGGAAAAGTCAAGTGGATGAATGCTGCGAACAAATTCAATTGATAGCAAAATGGTGATAACAAAACCCATTTGAATCACACATTGTTCCATTTTGGGTTGTGCAGGATAGGGAAGGGTACATATGTACCCTTATATATGTAGAAAATCATGGCATACGAATTGAGAGAGTGAATTCATATTGTAATGTTTTTATCTTGTTGTACCTACTATTGTATTAATAAAAAAGAATACATATAAAGATTGAAAATAAATGTAAATACAAAACGGCTGATATGCACTTTGACACTTTATCAATTTTTATCCGAAGAAAAAGTAAGGCCTGTTTCGGGCAGGAAGAAGAAGACTTTTACGATCCAATACGATCCAACTTTAGCTCTCTATTACCCATCCCGTTGAGTACCGGGATGATTTCTGGGCTATTTTGGGCACCCGCGGGATCCCGCGTTGCATACGGAAAGAACCTATTTTGTTGAGTACGGGAATGATTTCTGGGCTGTTACCGCAGAACTCCACAGGCAAACATCGATGGCCTACCAACTGTCATTTTGATGAACAATATGATTGCAAGTTTTTGTGTGTGGGCACTTTGATGTTTCGAAAATAAGCATTTGCCGCATGACGCCACCAGACAACATTCTCTCAATTTCAGTGTTTAAAAACATTTAAATCTTAAAAAAAAATCCTGAATAATTTCCTAAAACGTAATCATAAATAATCCCATTTACATAAGCATTTGCCGCATAACGCCACCAGACTACATTCCATGATAAAAACATAACAAGGTAAAACCATTGAGAGGCAGTCTGACGTTTGCCAACAATATAATTTTAAAATCAAAACTCAAACTCACACACACATTCTCATTTTTAATCTCAAACAACAACAATTGGGAACAATTAATTTTTTTTATTTTCAATTTTATATGATTTTAAAATGTTGGCAACCGTCAGAAAAAAATTATGGCCGACGAAATGAGAGAATGAATTTACCTTGTAATGTTTTTATCATGCTACATTCTCTCAATTTCAGTGTTTAAAAACATTCAAATCTTTAAAGAAACTTGCTGAATAATTTCCTAAAACGTAATCATAAATAATCCCATAGGGAACATATTTTTATTTTGATTTAATAAATAATAATAATAAATTTCATCGATGTTACCACTAGCACCCTTTTTTCAAATGAAAATATGGCTGTCAAACTATCGAATTGCCTGCAATAGATGTCAAGCAATAAGCGCTGACATATATTGCAGCCAATGAGAAATAAGCGGCCTCCAGTGGAAATATATTTTTTTTACATGGTTATCACGACATCAGTGTTTTCCTGTGTTGCGTGCGGGAAAGCACCCATTTTAACCCCTGTGTAGCTCCTGCCAGTTGACATTCTCCACAACAGCTGTTTCCGTCAGCTGAGAGTTCATCCGGATAGATGAAACTATCTGGCGTGGCTGCCAAGTTCAGTCAAGAAATGTCACCCGGTGTCTAAGTATTAGTTGAAGTTAAATTTTTGTCTTATCGAGAAAAATTGGGTACACAATTTTCATAGAAAATAAATTGCCTTATGTTTTTTTAAGAGATGTGTCGATATCTGTGTAGAAGTTGCGGTAGCTCTACGTTGCAAATTGTACAGTTAATTTTTTAAGTGTGCATGGGAACTCTGGCCGTGTTAATGGTATTCATTCTGTTTTTCCTATTATCGAAGTTTTTTTGCATTGTTTGGAGCAGTTTGGAGGAAGTTTTGCGTTTCTTGCTTCAATTTGAAGCCTTCTCGTTAAAATCTCAGCATTTTGTTGAAATTCATAAAAAGGTAAAGCCGTTTTTGTTCAAATCGTAATAAAAGTTGTTTGTAAATGGTCTTGTTAACGGGAGTAGGTAAGCAGTTATTTCTGGGTAAGTACAAAAAGTAAGATTTCGGCCTACTTTTGGAGAAACATCTGAATTATAGCCCTCATTTTCCTGGTAATTTGCCTAGCACTACTTTGTAAATTTATGTAATTTTTACTCTATGCATCCATAAGACCGGTGAAAGAAGTGAGGGGTGAGGCTAGCTGTGTGACACGAAAGATGCATGTCATTTCCATGTAGTGTTGTTACTTTCCCCACCCATATGAAAATTTCATTATGGACAATATCAATATTACGTTTTTGCTTTTATTATCTTGATTTGATAATATTAAAAATATATGCCATACTGGTGGTATTTCATAAAACTATGTATGTATATATTATTTGCATGCCTACAGTAGATAGTAATTAAGTTACAACTTTTGGCCGTACGTACTATGTATGTTTAAATGTAGTTTTCCATTACTTGCTACGTCACAAGCAGGGAGTATGTACACTTGTACGTACATGTACCTAGTGCATGTATATACATACATATACACTTTTTGGGAGACTCGATTGCAAATTTTGTCCTTTCTGAATATTTACTAATTAACATGAATGCAATCATATCTTTTCACTAGGTTTTTTCTCGTGCAAGGCAATAAAAAATTCTGTTTAGCTACATAGTTTTCAATAAAAAAGCGATTTCGTTTACCAATTGATTAATTAAAAAATATATATCATCAAAATAGTTTGGAATTTTGTGCCACATTGACATGACTATATATAATAAAACAAATATACATATTTTACTTTTGGAATGCACATTTAACCTAACCAAATCAAGAATTAACTAAATTGAAAATATATTCAACTAGACTAAATCTAATAAAAATTAAATTCAAGCGTGTCCGCTAAATTGTTGAATGTAAAATCAAGCCATATTTGTTAAAGAAAATAGGTGCGAAAAGTAAAACCGCATCGAATATAAGCAAAAATTTGCAACCTTCGTCGTCAAACATTCTTTTATTTTCATTTCAGCAACAAAACTCCAACGGTAAACTAACAACTTTTGAAGAAATCGCTCTCTAAGCCGTTGCTCTAATTCAGTCTCTTTGTTTTGAAAATATAGAGCAAACAGAAAATTCTCTATTAACCATATTAATTAGTAAGAATCGACTAATAAATAACAAAAAAATGGAGATGGAAACCACAACATCCTCCACAAAGCTTATTGCACCTGATGTCTCGAAAGACAATTTTGTTTCCGATAATAATATGGCTGGTTTCGTAGCAGACGATAGTTGCGAATTTGAATCGCCGGAACATTCGTGCGTAGAGTCAATAGGGCGTAGCGATGGAGATGATGAAGATGAGGATATTATTTTCCAAGAGGTCAAAATGATATTGCGTAAGCGCCGTGGCTGGGGACCCGAAGATTCGCTAAGTACTAATGATATAGATTTGCTCGAATATGATGACGAGTTAGTGGAGGAAGACGATGCAGGATGTCCTTTGCCTTCTACGCCCGAGGATACGCAACTCATTGAGGCTGAGGTGAGTAAACAGGAAGAGGCTATCTATGCTTTTTACACTTATTTTTTACTTAGTTTTACATCGAATNTATATAAGTTCGTTGTAAGCTGCCTGTTGTCTTTCTTATCGTTAATTTTTGAACTTAAGTGCAAGAAATGTGATAATAGCCCAAAAGCAAAATGTTTTTCTGGCATAAAATCTTTTGTTTTTGAAATAACCATATTTCACTGTTGATAACTAGGGTTCGGAATCTCATGCAAATGCATGTTATTATTGGGTGCCTTCAAACGGAAATGGTTCAGTTATCTTTACGAATCATGAAATTTCCTTTAAAATGTCATCAAATGTTAGTGCATATTTTGCAGTGAATGCATGGTTTTCCAATTTTTTTCAAAAAGTACTCTTTTTTTTGCATATGGGTGTTTCCAGCGGAAGGTCCACCACGACAAAAAAAATAAAAGTTTTATATCTAACGTATTTACGGGCCGATTTGTCTGCTTTTTAAAATATATACTGGCTATGTAAGTAGAATCATGTTTGCATAAAATGGTCTTCCTAGGTGGTGCCAAGGTCGAGATATTTCGAAAAACCGTATTTATGGTCCGATTTGGTTCGAATTTGGCGTATGTGGTTGAAACATAATAAATCATAGATTTCCAATAAATTGACCCTGAATTGGCGCTGAAGTCAAAATATAAAGTATATTCTACATAAAATACATGTTTTATTTGCGTTAAAAATTCATTTAAAAGCAATATTAACAAAAATATAACGATGGAAATTTATGTCACGTGACGCCACGTCACGTCACGTTTCACACTTGGGGTTGTAAAAGAGAATTGAAACAATTTGCATTAATTCAAAAAACTCTAAAAACAACTAGAATTGCTCCAAATCATATTAAAATAAGTTTCATGAAAATAGCCATCCACAATTCGCAGAGTTTTGCGATTTTGTAAGAAAAGAAAAAATCAACTTCCATTTTTTGTCACGTAACGACACTCTCTTTAAATGTTTATATTTCAGGACCAAGCAGTTCGATTGATTTCATTTTTCGGTTAAATATAGAGCTAATTATGTGCTATACAATGGCCCAAAAAAGTTAAAGAAAACAAATGGTATTCCTTTTTTGTATCACATTGAAATCGTACGACTGTCACGTGCGACACCATGGGAATGCCCATATTTTTTGTACAATCTTAGTATATTTTACAATAAATGCATATGGTTTTTTCATATTTTTGCTGTTTTATTTAGTGCGAAATCACTTGACATAAAAATTACCTTTAATTAGTGACGATTGTAGGAGAGAGCTGGCCTATATCTCTGATCAATATGAAATTACCCTAATATGAGTGCAAGGTTCGGCTCCGCACTAAATGTGTGGCACGCAAAAATTACCGAAATTTATCACTTGGAGGTCAAGCAGATGTAGAACCGTACAGGATCGTAGGGGATTCCTCGGCAGTTCTGGGTGTCCTACAACCCACTTAAAACCAAAGCTCTTAAGAATGAGCAAAGAAGACTTACTGCAGTGTGCACAGGGTACTGGCCCGTTGGGGTACATGCCGAAAAAATTGAATTGTTCTTAACAGGTTCTGTCGCAGTTGCGATTACCGACTTAGAAGAGACAGTCGAACACTTCCTGTGCGAAGATAAGGCTAAAGATACTTGGTAAGCCATTCCTGCATAATGTTTTAGGGGGCAGCTGCCTCTCTCCTAATGGCGTACTATAATTCATTAAAGCCCCCAAATGGCTGTAGGTTGTACGAGTTGTTGGATCAAAATGGCAAATTTGCTAGTTGCTTGTCCCCAGGGTAACAATCCACTTAAACCCATAGACGCCTTGTTTTAAGAGAAATTTCTTCCAACTTTGTATAATAATTATTTACGATAAATATCCTTTTTCGTCTCACGGGATGATTATTTTCAGATGAAAATTATTTACGTATTTTCATAATAGTTTTATGGGACTTTTATATTTCTTGTCTCTCGGGACGTTTATTTCAAGATGAAAATTACTTATTTCCGTCTTCTCATAATAATCCTGTGGGACTTTTATTTTCTTTATCCCGCGGGACGTTTATTTCAAATGAATTACCACTTCTCATAATAATTATGTGGGACTTTATTTTTGTTTTCGTCTCGTGGGACGTAGATATATTTTTACAACGGAAATGACCTACATCTTTTCATAATAATTATAGGCGACTTTTATTTTTCTCGTCTCTCGTGACGTTAATTTGAGGACGAAAATGATTTACATCCCACGTTTTCTCTTGATATAATCGGTACATGTACTGCAGATTTCACGAAATTAAACGTTTATCTCCGAGCTCGATTATTGGAATATGATTTGCTAACATCTGGCAACCCTTTTCAAAAAACTAAAACCCCCGCAGTTTTGAAAATCGAATGAACGATACAGAAATCTACGAACTCAATTAAGAAATTTCATTTCAATAAAAGTCCCATGTAATTATTAAGGAAAGACGTATATCTTTTCCGTCTTGAAATAAACGTAACGAGAGACAAAAAAAATAAAAATCCCATATAATGATTATGAGAAGACGTAAATCATATTCGTCTTGAATTAAACGCCCCGAGAGGCGAGAAAAAATAAAGATCCCATATTATTATTATGAGGAGACGTAGATCATTTTGGTCTCGAAATAAACGCCCCGAGAGACGAAAAAATACAAAAATGCCATATAATTATTATGAGAAGACCCAAATCATACTTGTCTTGAAATAAACGTCCTGAGGGACGAAAGAAAATAAAGATCCCATATAATTATTATGAGAAAAGGAAATTTTTTTATGTTTTTGTTTTTTTGCCTCTAAAAATAATCGTCCCGCGAGACGAAAAAAACTGTTCCATTGTTCCGTAATAATTATATATTTAATTTTACTTCTTATGATCGTTATGGTCTCTGCTTAAACCTACCAAACATCTATCTGAACCACTATTAAATACTTTGTTTCTATTTACCCAAGATTGAAACTGTCTGCTTTATTATAAACTAATTGTATACATAAATATGTATTATATTTTGAAGTGAACTGTTTTTGTTATTTTCTTGTTAGAATCCATGTGCTAGTTATTTTTGTGACGACAACAAAATTTTAGGAAAATATTTTGTATTGCATATTTTACGTGTTTATAGCGCATATTTTCGAGATTCCGAGCCCTATTGGTTACGATACACAAAAAAAGTAAAGATACATATCTGGATGAAAGTTTATATAACATGGAAAGTGATGAGTAGTTCTACTAATTAGATAGTGGANTTTTTGTGACGACAACAAAATTTTAGGAAAATATTTTGTATTGCATATTTTACGTGTTTATAGCGCATATTTTCGAGATTCCGAGCCCTATTGGTTATGATACACAAAAAAAGTAAAGATACATATCTGGAGGAAAGTTTATATAACATGGAAAGTGATGAGTAGTTCTACTAATTAGATAGTGGCTCCAACAGTGTCGAGAGTATGACGAGAGTTTTTATTTTTTTGTTCTACATGGCACAGACAATTGCGAAATTCCAAAGCGGCCAGCTTCTGTTCCGTCGGGAGAAGAAAATTGTAAAATGTTGTTTTAACTTGATTTCTTATTAGAAATTATATGAATATGTACAACTATTCAGCTAATTGATTGCCATTCTTATCTATAGCAAACAATTTGTTGAAATGATAGGGTCTTTTTGTATCTAAATATTTTCCAACACAAATTATTTGAATCCGCAAGAAAGAAAGATAAGAAATGCATAATGCCATCAATATTACAATTTAACTTTCGCAGAGAAGGTAAAATTTCGAAGGTTATTGTCACAAAAAAACGTTTATAACATTCATACATACATATGTATTTTGCAACAATTTTCAATACAATTTTTCAGAAAATAAAATAAATTGTTAAATAAAATGTATGTAATTTCAGATGACCGAAGTGCTAAAGGCTGGTGTTTTATCAGATGAGATTGATTTGGGTGCATTGGCCCACAATGCTGCGGAGCAGGCTGAAGAGTTCGTTCGTAGGGTAAGTTAATAAGTGTGTTTTTTATTATACTAAAAACTGTTACACAACTTTTAGCAATATAAATAAATACAAACCTTTTAATACCATANTAATGCCATCAATATTACAATTTAACTTTCGCAGAGAAGGTAAAATTTCGAAGGTTATTGTCACAAAAAAAACGTTTATAACATTCATACATACATATGTATTTTGCAACAATTTTCAATACATTTTTTCAGAAAATAAAATAAATTGTTAAATAAAATGTATGTAATTTCAGATGACCGAAGTGCTAAAGGCTGGCGTTTTATCGGATGAGATTGACTTGGGTGCATTGGCCCACAATGCTGCCGAGCAGGCTGAAGAGTTCGTCCGTAGGGTAAGTTAATAAGTGTGTTTTTTATTATACTAAAAATGTTACACAACTTTTAGCAATATAAATAAATACAAACCTTTTAATACCATTTTTTTCTAATCAGGTATGGGAAGCTAGCTGGATTGTGTGTCACTATAAAAATTTACCCAAGTGGCTGCAAGATAATGACTTTCTACACCGCGGCCATCGTCCGCCACTGCCCTCGTTCAGTGCCTGTTTTAAGTCCATATTTCGAGTCCATACGGAAACAGGCAACATTTGGACACACTTGCTGGGCTGTGTAGCCTTTATTGGTGTGGCTCTGTACTTTTTGTCTCGCCCTTCTGTCGAGATACAAGTACAAGAAAAAATTATATTTGGTGCCTTCTTTGCTGGTGCCATCATATGCCTGGGCTTCTCATTCGCATTTCACACGCTTAGCTGTCATTCGGTGGAGATTGGAAGACTGTTTTCAAAGTGAGTGAAAAATTTATACAAACGCACTGCAATAACTACTAACGGACACAAATATCGTTACGTTTTTACGCTACAGATTAGACTATTGTGGAATTGCATTACTCATAATGGGTNCATCATATGCCTGGGCTTCTCATTCGCATTTCACACGCTTAGCTGTCATTCGGTGGAGATTGGAAGACTGTTTTCAAAGTGAGTGAAAAATGTATACAAACGCACTGCAGTAACTACTAACGGACACAAATATCTAATTTCTTTTTACGCTACAGATTAGACTATTGTGGAATTGCATTACTCATAATGGGCTCGTTTGTGCCCTGGTTGTATTATGGGTTCTATTGTCATTATCAGCCTAAAGTGATCTACTTATCTGTAGTATGTGTATTGGGCACTCTATCAATTATTGTTTCGCTGTGGGATAAATTCTCTGAACCTGCCTTGCGACCTCTCCGCGCTGGAGTCTTCATGAGTTTCGGTCTTTCGGGCATAATACCAGCTATTCATTACAGTCTCATGGAGGGTTGGTTCAGTCAAATTAGTCAGGCCAGTTTGGGTTGGTTAATTTTAATGGGTAAGTAATACGCTTCTCTTATATTTACTAAATAAAATACATTTTTGTGCACCGTCATACAATTCNCAGTTTGGGTTGGTTAATTTTAATGGGTAAGTAATACGCTTCTCTTATATGTATTAAACAAAATATTTTTGTGCACCGTCATACAATTTNTCAGCATATAGTTGCCGCAAAACAAACAGTATTGTGAACACGATTGTTCACATACATTAAAAAAAAATGTTTACGCATAGCCACCAAAACAAATTGAATGTACTTTAATCGCTCGTTAATTATAGCCACAAAACGAAAGCATACAGATAAGCTGAGAAATATGCCGAATATATGTAGTAAAATATACATTTAATTACTAATTCCGTAAATTGGCGCAATAACCAATCACAATCTGCATAGTTCGATTGCACGAACTTTAGATTTTTTTTTTTAAGAATAGTCATACTCCTACGTAAACAAATATGTATGGATGTAATCCCTCACGACCATTGCTCAGATAGAGCCGCTTTTTCGTTATCTATTGAACATATGGGCAAATCCTAGAAGTAGTCAACCCATATATCGTCGCCTGGGTAAAAGATTGTCGTATGTTAATTTCGGCAGG